TGGAAGTGACAAGGCAGGATTTGAGCCTGGATGGAGCTGACTTTGAAGCCAAATTCTTTTCATCATTCTATTTCTTCCATCTCAGAAATATTTTCTCACACCTCAGAGAAAGTCTTAGTTAACAAGCAATTAAAGAGTTCCGGTTTGGCTAAGCCCCAGCAAATTCTTCAACCTCACGCCAAGGTAAATCTAGCCACTCTGGGGAAAAAATGATATTTTTAAAATTTATTGCCCCTCTGCAACATGCCTGATGTGCTCAGGCAGCAGAGGGCACATGACCCGCGTTAACTACCCCATTACAGGAGTTAGTAGTTTAGGGATGTTTCCCCGATTTGGTGGCCTGGAGCAGGCGTGGAGGTAACAGGGACCTCCCAGGCCTGGGAAACACTTCCAGGTGGCATTTTGTTCAACCTCCTCCCCCCTGTACTGGCTAACATGTCTCCTTGTTCAACCAGACAGATGTCTGTATCTAGGGAGCCTCATTCTGACACAAGGGAGAGTCAAATCTATTTGCAGTGTGTCTGTCTTTCTGGTTGCCTTGCTCACAATTCCCAGTGTGTCAGAACTGGAGGTGGGGCTGGGAGAAAGCTCATCTGTTGCTAGGTTTGGACCACATGCCCCCATCTAACATTCATTGAATATCTTCAGCCTGGTTCTTTAAGACGGCACATTTGCCAAGTAAACACGGTAGAATGTCAGAATGTCAGAAATGACCCCTGCACTGACCCCATTCAACTAATTTCACCTTTCAAAAAGAGAAAGGTTTGACCCAAACAATAACACTCCCTTCTAGAGAAAAGTGCTCATTCATCGCCAGGACAAGCATTCTCTGTGACCCTCAGTCTACTGGCTCTCAACCACAGGCTGCCAGAAAATCTCTCAACAGCCCCTCACCCCAGCTCCCTAGATCTCGTCAGCACAAATGTGCTAACTGATCTCCTGGCACAGAGGGGAGTCTTGAATTAAATGGTTCAAAGGCATTTCTTATTCTCCCTTACAATTTGGCCATCTTTCCCTTTATGCAGTAAAATCTCCAATACTTTGAAATTTATGGGCCTTTGGACAGGGACTGGGCTGGAGTCTGCTTCTGGACTCTTCTGCATAGAAAGGATTTTCGAAGAAAATTAACAGTTTGCTGAAAGAATTGTTAAGGGCATGTGGCCTCTACTTATGGAAGCCTCTTTTCTAGCCTTTTCCTAACACTTATGTATTTGCACAGAGCTGATATGCTAATTTCATGTGATTATTATATGTTCATTAAGCCCTTAGCTGCAAGCATTCATCAATATGGTTATTGTGGCTTGAACTGGTCTCGAACACTAGGTTTTTACTGAACTGAAACTTCTTAGATGCAAACTTTTCTGGACTAAGAAATTAACAAAGAGAATTAAGTTAATGGCAGGCAAAATGACTACACTGCTTCCGTGAGGATAAAAGAAGGGTTCTGATGTGCTATTAATTCATTGACTCTCTCCAATGTTGATATAGGATGAGGTCTGACTATGGTTAACCCTCCATCCTGGCGCAATTCTTGTTAGATCTTCCATGCCAGAATAATTACTCATAATACCCTCTTTCATTCTTAAAGATGTCTTGATACAAACTACAAATTACATAGTCGCTGTAGATTTGGTGAAACTTACAGAATTAACATTGTGATTTTTCAAGGACTTTGAGCTTTCTTTAGGCTGGCAGTACCTGATCTTCGCTGTACAAACCAAAAGAACGTTCCCTAACAATGCTATACCAATCAGTTCTGAATCCAGATAATGCAGCCAGATCAGAAAGCATCTAATCGTCCCTCTGAGAAAGGAAAGAGGGGACCACACCCTGCCCCACCTTTGTGTGTTAATTTTACCTCAATGAAATGAAACTGAAATCCCACAGTTTTTATTATCAGCACTACTCGGGGGAGAGATGGATAGGTAGAGAGAACACAATACTGAGGAATAGTGGATTTCCCTTTGGCCATTACAAGCTTTGTTACAGAGCTAATACCTTTTAAACAAACACTGTGCTCTACAGACGGCGAGCTGTGCCCTACCTGACTTCATCCTCACAACCCACCCTCCGAGATGGCTACTGTTATTATTTCTATTTTCAAGCTGGCAAGCAGGCTCAGTGAAGTAAAGCCACCTGTTCAGGATCCACAGCTAGTCACGACAGAACCAGGACAGGAATCCAGGTTGCCTTGTGCGCAAGTCTGAGCTCTTAACCACTATGATATACTGCCTCCCACTCTGCTATACTGCTCTGACATTTGAGTCAGACATCTGCTTGCAATTTGATACATTATCAAGCTATTGCCTCATCAAGTATGCCTCACCGCAGGGGGAGAGGAACTGAAGGGGGTTTGCTTGGATTGCTGTATGATGTATGCATAGTGCTATGAAATCAACGAATTGGATGTCTGCATCTATCTTGGCACTAAATTATCTTCAGAGATAGACTTAAAATATCTTAGGGAAGTTCACCGTGAGAAGGAGGGTGGCCCTTACATCTATAAACAAATACTGAGTGTGTAACCAACAGGACCGACTATTGGTTCATCCACCCCTTCCCCCATCTCTCTGCAGACAGATACTTGTGCTGATCTGCTGACTGTGATCTGGGTTTGACTCATGAAACAACATTTCTGATGAGACCAAGTCCCCAGATTGCCTCTAGAGGAAGCCACTGGAGGAGCCCAGTGATGTGTCAATGTCCCTGCCCTTTTCTTCCTGAGAACTTGATTTGGAAACATGGTACTTTTCGCCTTAAGTAAGTATAGAACGTTGAAGAGGAGGTAGAAATTGACCATCATTGGATGTGTCTGGCTTGAGTGAGAATGGAAATGATTCAGGCTTTATAGCCAGTATGTTAAAAGACAAGTCAAACTCAGCCTTTCCTAAAGACTTAGATGTAAATGCTGTCTCTTCACTCCCTACCCCAACCCAGGAGTAACAGCTACAAAACTGGAATCTCTTCTACGGAGAAGCCACACCTATTATGGAAGTATTAAACACGATTCTCCTAGCATGACCTAAATTGAGGGCTTCTGGCTCAGACTTTCACCCCATGGGTGGTCTCCAGGGGGAAAAAGACACAAGATATTAAAAGACATCAGGAGTGAAATGGCAGTGGGGGCCTGCAGAGGGCTATTGAAAAAGTCTCAGATGGATTAAATTAGAATGAACACAACGCTATAGAAAGCATGAAGGCTGAGGGACCTTGTGGTCCACTCTTACAATCGAGAATATGACCAAGACAAGGGGGTGACAGTAATAGACAAAGGCTGAAAGTCCCCGGCCAAGTGGACATTAGACATGTTTTTCTGAATTAAAACACCACCAGGAACCTGCCTCTCTCTCCCTGTACCCCTGAAGTAGATGGAGAAGTCTGGATCTAACACTACACTTCTACTTTCCAGTATTTCCCCTGGTTCCTTCTACAAGGGCATTTTCCTGGGCCGGTGCAGCACCTGACTTGGCAACAGTAGGGAGAGGGAGCACTCCAAAGGTGGACTAGATAACAGAAACCCAGGAAGAGAAAGCTGCTGACGTCAAAACCCTCTACAAAGAACCTCTCTCCGAGCAGAGAGCATCAGCTTTTGAATGGCATTTGGTGTTATTGTTCCCCTTCTCCAGCCTGTGTCAGTGGGTGTCCCCTCCCTCCCATCCACAAACACGAGCTGTTGCTGCTGCTGCTTGCAGCCTGCTGTGCCCCACTGCCCCAGGATGTCACCTGCCCACCCATTCTCCACACGGGATGCCCCTTTTTCTAAAGACCTGTATGATCCCCTCTCAGACTGTGAAGAGAAAAAGTTCTACGGTCTGGGTTTGATTCTTCAGACATGAGTCCCCATCCATCTTCCAGCCCACACCCACTGGAAAGTTCAGATTCACTTGTGCCAGAACAGGCATCCATTCTGTCCGAAGCACTTTCGCAGACATGTTTTCAATCTGCTCCCGCATGCAGGCTGCCAGGATTAATAAATCCTCCAAGTGGTCCCCCTGGGTCTACTTCTTTCTTTTCTCTCACCGAACCACTCATCCAATAGCACCAAAAGATGAGTTTTCATACTGCCTTGATTTTCCCTGACAGAGGGCACAGCCTTCTTCTTTTCATTCTCAAACTCCTCTAAATTGAGTGCTGTATAAAAAGGATCGGGTTTTCTCGGTCTCGGAATGCTTCCATCCTCCCCAACCTCCTCTGCCTCTCACCCCACACCCTGTTCCCCCTCTTTCTGCCTTTCTTTGAGTTTGTCCCTTCATCAACACCACGTCTACCACCCTCCCAGAACCTGTTCTCATTCCTGAGTTCAAAGCAATCAGGTTCTTTTGGGAAAATTAAATAAAACTCTTTCGATATCATCTTCATGATCTTGGAAGGCTCCTCCCTGACTCTTGAGCTTAGAGTCTTGGTTTTGGATGTTGGAGAGGAGAGATTTCAGCAACAGCAGCGGCGGCAGCAGCCAGTAAGGTGTGGAGGAGGGTGCTGTTTTGGGTGTATTTGAGGGAACAGCATATGGGCTTTTGTCAAAAATGTTCAGAGCTTGCTAGTTCCCGAGCTGGGGATAGAAATGTACTGCTATCTCTGAACACTGTTCGAGCTGGTTCAATCCTCGCCTTCTCTTCTATTACTGCCTTCCCCACCCACCTCCAATCCATCATTCCCCTGACCCCTGCTCTCTGAGCTCTGTGTTACCGAGAAAAGTTTTTGCGTCAAGTCGTACCCCACCTGCGCCGCCCACCCCAAGAAAGCAAAACCTCTTGAATAGGATCTGTGGGCTCCGCGGAGTGTTGCTCTCCTCCCCCTCGACCCCCCAATCCCTGTCCCTTCTCACCATCTTCCACCTCGCACAAGCAATTAGTTCCCATGTTCCAGCGGGAGATACCGAGTAGTGACGAGAAAAGACAGGCGCCCTGGCCCAGCTGCCTGCATCCACCCCTCAGGGCTCTGGGACACAGGCCAGGCAGAGGGGCTTCCAGGGTCTCCCCTTTTAAGAAGGAGGTCATTACCTTGGCAGCGGCTTCCGGGCCGTTATGCTGGCGACAATGATGCTCTCGGGACGCGGAGTGGCCACCGCTTTGAAGGTTCCTCGCCAGAACTTCTCAAACAGCTGCTTCTCGCCTTGCTGAACGCTCGCCATGGCCAACCCAAAGGGGCCGGGGTGTCCGGGCGCTGTCCGAAGTGCTGAAACGTGGATTCCGAACGGGGGCACACCCGCCTGCGGGCTGTGTCCGAGAGAAACCCAGAGAAACCCAGAGGGGTGGGGTGGGAGAGATCGGAGTTCAGGGCGGGGGATGGGACGTCTCGGCCCGGGCGGGCAGCACAGAAAGAAGGCTTGTCTGCCGGCTTTCTTGGCCTTCTGGGTTGGCTCTGGGCTGCTCTCTGAGCTCCGTGAGCCTCCGCGCCCCAGGCCGGGAAGGCAGGGCTGGCTTTCTCCGCAGCGCCAGGAGAGAAGAGGCGACAGGGCCGTCTGTGTGTGCGTGCGCGTGTGAGCTCCGGCGCGCCCGGGTTTTGTCTCTCGCACAATGTGACGTTGGAAAAGGAGGCTGGTCGGGAGAGCTGCACTTTCCACCCTCCTCTCGGTATCTCCACCCCACCAACCCCCTCCTCTTCAGGCTCAGCCTCCTGCCGCCATCTGCATAACAAAAGCCCGCAGGTCTTGGGAGGAGAAAGGGCGGGGCGTGCGCTTGTCACCCGGGCCCGCAGCGACCGAGTTGCAGCGCTGACCCCTCGGAGAAGCAATCCTGGCACTCCCGTCAGAATCAGGCGGAAGATCCTGCTTCCCGGCCCTCTCTGCTCTCTCATGTCGGGCCTTCCCCCCACCTCTTTCTTGCATGCCCTTGGGGCCTGGCCACCTCCCTTTCCAGCCGCTTCACAAGTCTTCTGGCAAATCTTCTATTGAGGGAGGAAGTGAAAAACTTAACCTATTCTCCCAAGCCAGGGCCCCCCGCCCCTCACTTCTGGGAGGGACTGCCTCGGTCAGCAAAGAGGGTCTCTTGAGTTCTTTGCGCTTGGGGGCCGCGAGATCCCCACCATCCAGAAAGTGCCATTTGATGGACAATCCGTCACCAGTTCGGCTTCTCGCCATCTGCCAAGCCGAGACCCCGCCCGCAAAGGGGCGCAGCGTTACATCTGTGCACGCAGTGCTGTAAAGGATATCTCTTTGTGTCGCCCGCCTGCCCAACGTCCTCGCTGCCAAGCCCAGGCAAAGGAAAGGGGACTCCTCCGCCCCACCCCGCCCACTCCTGCCCCCTACCCGCTCCTGGGGAATTATTCTGCGACTACTTTTCCTAATGCAGCTTGTCTCGGGAAAAGGAGTACGTTTTGGAACTGAAAGCACTTAGGGGGAAGGTTTCAGGGGGAAAAACTGAAATCACGGGGGCATAGTTACTTTTTAATCTCTCTTCCCTATCGTCTATCCTCTCGCAGTTCAGTCGTAATCCTAGTCAGTGGAGGTTCAGAATGCCCAATAACCCCCAGACACAGAGGATCCGGGTAGAATTTCTCTTGTCCCCCCCGACCCCCAGTTTTCATGAAGGAAAAGAGATCTTTGAGGGATCTCTCAGCCCATCTCTCCTTTGGAGCCCTTTAATCTTAGCATAGTTGCTACCCACACTGTAAACTCCTGGAAGGTGGCCTCCCTGAGTCTTAAAGGCCTCCAAGCACATCGCGCCAGGTCCCAGACACATCAGGAGTAAACCCATGCTTATCGCTGACGTTAATAGTAATGGGGGCCCAGTGGGTGGTGGCGCAGGGACCGGGCGGGGGATGTTGGGGAGTGTGGGCACTAATGTGAACTTCAACTTCAGAAGTTCTTTGAAAAGTAACAGGAGTTACATAAGAGGTGAAGGGCAAGAGGAGGATAAAGAGAGCAAAATAGGGCAACAGAAGAAAGAACGCTGGAATAGATGAGTATCCTTCTGGAAAAGTGTAAGACTGGATTGGTGTGTAATTCCTTGCTGCTGTGTCTGCTCATGGGAAAGCCTGAGCGTGCTTCTCGCTCTGCAGTGACCCCTTCTGGTCAATAACTAGAGACTCATTTGCAGGCTTCTTAAACATGTTGTGGCTACAGGGAGGTGGGGCCAGGGCTAGGATGCTTGGAACAGGAGAGAGGTGGACGCTAGGGAGCCACTTGCCTCCTTCTCCCTTTCCTCCTGCATCAAACATCCCCCTTTACACTGCTGCTCTCGGGCCTATCTCTCACTCTGAAGTTGATGTCATTTTAAATGCAATCCTGAGCTGGCTGCTTAAGTAGCCTGGGATGTTTAAAACTACCCTTAGTCATGACACTGGGGGTATGAACTGAGTCACTTGCAAGGGAGAGGTAGGCGGGATCCCACCCCCACAAGATCAATCAACATCTCCCAGCTGTGTTCCTATTCTTAATTCCTAGAACGTGGTTAAAGCTGCCATGTGCACCTCCTTGCCTTTTTTGAACCCTGCAGCAGCCAAGCGGCCTAGACTTTAGGTCTAGCTTCTCCAATATAACTTAAATTTCACTTCCTCCCTTACTTTATCAAAATATTACCACATCATGTCTCACTCCTTCAGGGTACTGCTCTCTGTTTCCCCAGGCGCAAGCCCACCCCATAAACTAAGCGCTGTTAACATGCTGATTAGAATACAAATATCTGATGCAATTCCACTTACCCTCTGTACTAGGCTGGTGGCAGATGTCACTAATCCATCACAACAATCTTGCTGGGACCTACCCTCAGAATCCTTCTCAATACAGTTTTCTAAATAGACACTACTAATTGGTTGCCATTTGGCATTCTAGATAAAATCAATTTGACACCTATGTCTAGATGGTACTTCTTTATTAATTAGTATTATTGTTTTATTTGAAAAAGGGAAGAGCAGGGAGAAGTGATTCTAGGGTTTGTTAACCCAAGCACTCTAGATTGGAGCTAAAGAGATTCTTATGCATTCTTCCCCTTAGTGAGCCAAAGAGATAGTACCTCCAGCTCAGAGAAATAGTTACCGTTCCTCCTGAGGCAGTTCAAATCCCATCGCACTAACATTATTGCATTACCTTGGGTAAATCTCTTCATCGTTCTGTGTCTAAGATTTCACTGAGTACAAAGGGGCTAATTATTATCCAGCACCATCAAGGGGCATCAGGAAACTTAATAGTCTATAGCCTCGTCCAAAAGTCCAGTGAACAGCGAGTAATCCAAACAATTACAGAGATGATACGAAATATTATAATAAAGCCAATTCATATGCCTTTGTGCCTTTAAACAAGATTTTGCTAAGCCATTCAAGTTATGTGATTCTGGATTTCTTCATGAGGACATTTGGGGAGAAAACTATGATTGCACTACACAAGGTTTACTAACCCTCACTTCTTGATAGTTCTATCTTACGTCTAATCTGAATCTCACCTTAGCTGTTTATCGTACATTTTCTCTAATAGAACATAAACATGCACTACTACAAATACCCCTGGACTAGCATGGATAACACAGCAAGGATTCTTTTTTTTTTATTGAGACAGAGTCTCACTATGAGACTCTCAGTAGAGTGCCATTGTGTCACAGCTCACAGCGACCTCAAACTCTTGGGCTTAAGTGATTCTCTTGCCTCAGCCTCCCAAGTAGCTGGGACTATAGGTGCCTGCCGTAATGCCCAGCTATTTTGTTGTTGCAGTTGTCATTACCCAGTGTATGTGGCTGGTGCCCTCACCACTGAGCTACGGGTGCCGAACCAACAGTAAGCATTCTTCCCTGGTTGTGTAGTTCCTAAGATTCTACAAGACAAATGTGTTCATTACTGTCTCAGATGATAATAGCTGCACGTATCAAGTATATATGACTATGTTCTATGTCTTAGTCGGCAAGTATGCTAAACCCTTGATAGCTATTATCTCATTTAATTTTCAAAACAACTCTGTGAGAAAGACCTCTATGAGAAAGAAAATTGTCTGGATTTTACAGATTTGGAAACTGAATCTCAGAGTATAGAATTACTTGCCCAGAATCACACAGCTAGCAAGTAGTAGAGTCTGGTTTCAAATCCAGATATGCCTTCCTCTACAGTCTAGGATACACTGACTATTAGCCACAGGAGATAGGCTGTGTTCATATCTACAGATTCCCATTTGTCTGAGTACCTATTTATGCTACCAAGGATGGTATTTTCAGAGCCTCTACCTTTTTCCTGGAGGAATGGCCAAAAGTACTTGCCTGGTATTTTCCTGATATGGGCATCCTGGTATTTCTTAGGTAGTTGGCAGGACAGAACATGAATCTCCAAGACTACCATATTGATTTTTTTGGTAGGAAACCAAGCTGAAGAATCTCAGTGGGGAGAGAAAGAGTGAGCTGTTCAATATCAAAACCTGAATAAAGGGATTATTCCTCCCCAGAGCAACTGTTCCAGCCACTGAATTGGCTGCCCTGCTACGAGAATTTGACTTTGCTTACTCATGCTCCATACTCTCACTAGGGAAGATTTTCCCTCAAATTGTGGGCCTGCTCATTATTTTCTTCTGCTGAAAACCTTTCTTGGGCTTCTGGAAATTAATAGAGTAAATGTCTAACTCCTTTGCACAGCCCACGAGGATCTGGTGCTTGTCCTCTATCTCTGTCCTTGAACTCCACCCTGCATTCATTCCAAATTGCTCATAGAATCTCAATATACCCCATTCTGGTCTATGACTCTCTCTCTGAATCATTGAAAACAATTTCCTCTGGCCTCTCTGGCTTTCTGAAGAACTCCTATTCATTCCCCAACACGTTATAATCATACGTGTATCATCTCAGACATCTTATCTGATTTATTCCTACCTTTTCATACTCACAATAAAAATCTCCAATCATCCCCTCTCTTGAGCTTATTCTGAACCATGAGTATGTTCTCTTATTTGTTTGGAATTATTTTTCATAATATTGATTGCAAGATCCTTGAAAGGACCAACTATGTCTATTTCATAATTGAGTCACCAATGTCCAGTATAAGATTGGCACGTAGCAGGTATTCCATAAAAGATGGTGCAGTGAGTAGATTTCATATGCAGTATATACATAGTAGCCATACTAATGTGCACGTTACCCTAGCCCATAGACAATAAGGATTTTATACCTATGCATTACACTTGACGATACAACATTCACATGGCACTTGCTGATATTGTATATACTCATTTACCTGTGAACTGATGAGAGGAAAGGACTACATTTTATGTATACTTTGTGTATAATATATATCGCACTATAGTAATACTCTGTATTAGTATTATAGTAGTACAGTAATACAGAGTATACTATAGTACTACATTTTATGTATACTTTATGCATATTATATATAACACTTTAGCAATACTCTGTAGTACTGTAGTATAGTACTGAATGTCAGGCATTGTTCTAAGTACTTTACAAATATTAACTCATCTAATGCACACAATAACTATGAATCAGGTCCTGCTATTAACCACACTTTACAGACAAGGAAACTGAAACACAGAGAGTTGAAGTAATTTATCCAAGGACACACAGCTCGTAAGAGATAAAGCCAACACGTAA